CAAATGAGAAAAATAAATATCAATATGGGGATGATGGTAGTTGGGTGGGCCATATAATCATCCAGGAATACATCTCCAGCAAACTGGAAATAAAATAAAACCGTGATAGGATCTGTAAAACCAAGAAACACTTTTGAGCTTAGCACCAGTCATGTACATAGCATACAATGACAAATTAAAAACATAGCCATTTCTCAATGTGCTCCACCTTATAACATTATTTATCTTATATAAAGTAGTACTTCTCTTTAGTTTAGATTTTTCCGTGATGTAGTTATAATTTTGTAACATAATTTTAAGATTATGCATTTTGACCATGCAAAGGTAAAAAATATATATTTATTTCGTATCATACACACTTTTATTTTGAAGGCAAAACGGAGAACCGGAAGTCTTAATATTGCTGCCGGATCGTTCATGTTACGTCATGCTAATGGTATATTGTACAAATGTAATTTGTCTGCTGCAGAAACCGGAGAATTTAGCTGAGGGAATTTCCGATTTCAACAGTCGACAACTTGTTCAACAACAACCGGTTCACCAGGTCAAATAGATATTCTTCTTCCGCAGTTGTAGGTCAGATAATAAGTGAATACTTCCATCTACTGGTTGTAATGAGGAGCACGAGATGACATTTTCTAGAAAGAGAATGGAGCTTTTTTTTTCTGCAGTATCATTGTTTTGAGTGAGTGTTGTTCATATGACGTCTTTCCCACTTGGTTAGTCTGTAACATGCTGTACAGTGGACTGTATTGATGTGTGATTAATTACCAGAAATTCCTTTCTCTTTGATTCTGGAACCATAAAGTCTGTGAGAACCTAGAAGTAGAAGTTAACTATGACCTAATATTAGAATCCCAGAGAAACCCTGACCAGACTTGTCACTTGTGGTCCTCAGGCCATCAGTGTGCTGCTCCAGCCTTGTAGGCTACTGGGTTTCCCAAACTATGGACATGTGAAAGTTTTTCATTTCCCTTGCCCTAGTCAGTATTTCACTCAAAGCACAAAACTCATTCAAATACCATTGATATAGTTAAAATGGGTAGTTTACATTGATAGTAAAGTTCCGTGCATAAAGTCTGTTCTTGGCCTATACGTGCCTTTGTGTTCTCTAGGCAGGGTTTTTTGCAGGACATGCAGGAGCAGATGGGGAAGCTGACTGCCCTCCTGATGGATAGTTTCTCAATCATGGTCAGGTGAAGGGAATCTCTGTCTCCTGAGGTCATCATGTCTCTGTTTCACAGCTGTTGGACGAGGCAGAGCAGAGAGCTGAGAGAGTCAGTCAGCAGTAACAACTGGAGATGGAGTAGATACGTTATGCCCCACTGCTAACAGAGGTGTACTTTGGATGGAAGGGAAGTAGTGTCTATTTTTTTACAGCACATCTAGGTTATACTACGAATGGTAAACAAATATATAGTTCTACCTATACAACTTCATTATTCCATTGTTATAGATCACTTTTATGCGGGACTGTCAAATTGGAATAAGGTCCTTTGAAAAATTAGCCGCCGAAATTGTCGCAACCCCTATTACTAGCCTGTTCAACCTCTCTTTCGTATCGTCTGAAATCCCCAGAGATTGGAAAGCTGCCGCCGTCATCCCCCTCTTCAAAGGGGGTGACATTCTAGATCCAAACTGTTACAGACCTATATCCATCCTGCCCTGCCTTTCGAAAGTTTTTGAAAGCCAAGTTAACTAACAGATCACCAACCATTTAGAATCCCACCGTACCTTCTCCGCTATGCAATCCGGTTTCCGAGCTGGTCATGGGTGCACCTCAGCCACACTCAAGGTCCTAAACGATATTATAACCGCGATCGATAATAGACAGTACTGTGCAACCGTCTTCATCGACCTGGCCAAGGCTTTCGACTCTGTCAACCACTGCATTCTTATTGGCAGACTAAATATCCTTGGTTTCTCAAATGACTGCCTCGCCTGGTTCACCAACTACTTCTCAGATAGAGTTCAATGTGTCAAATTGGAGGGCCTGTTGTCTGGACCTATGGCAGTCTCTATGGGGGTGCCACATGGTTCAATTCTTGGGCCGACTCTTTTCTCTGTGTATATCAATGATGTCGCTCTTGCTGCTGGTGGTTCTCAAATCCACCTCTACACAGACGACACCATTTTGTATACATCTGGCCCTTCATTGGACACTGTGTTAACAAACCTCCAAACAAGCTTCCATGCCATACAACACTCCTTCCGTAGCCTCCAACTGCTCTTAAACACTAGTAAATACTGTGAACCATCAGATCCTCCTCTCCACCCTCTCCGAGCTGGGCATCTCCGGCGCGGCTCACTCTTGGATTGCGTCCTACCTGACCGGTCGCTCCTACCAAGTGGCGTGGCGAGAAGCTGTCTCCGCACCACGTGCTCTCACCACTGGTGTCCCCCAGGGCTCAGTTTTAGGCCCTCTCCTATTCTCCCTATACACCAAGTCACTTGGCTCTGTCATATCCTCACATGGCCTCTCCTATCATTGCTACGCTGACAACACACAACTAATCTTCTCCTTTCCCCCTTCTGATAACCAGGTGGCGAATCGCATCTCTGCATGTCTGGCAGACATATCAGTATGGATGACGGATCACCACCTCAAGCTGAACCTTGGCAAGACGGAGCTGCTCTTCCTCCCGGGGAAGGACTGCCTGTTCCATGATCTCGCCATCACGGTTGACAACTCCGTTGTGTCCTCCTCCCAGAGTGCAAAGAGCCTTGGCGTGACCCTGGACAACACCCTGTCGTTCTCCGCTAACATCAAGGCGGTGACCCGATCCTGTAGGTTCATGCTCTACAACATTCGGAGAGTACGACCCTGCCTTACACAGGAAGCGGCACAGGTCCTAATCCAGGCACTTGTCATCTCCCGTCTGGATTACTGCAACTCGCTGTTGGCTGGGCTCCCTGCCTGTGCCATTAAACCCCTACAACTCATCCAGAATGCCGCAGCCCGTCTGGTGTTCAACCTTCCCAAGTTCTCTCACGTCACCCCGCTCCTCCGCACACTCCACTGGCTTCCAGTTGAAGCTCGCATCTGCTACAAGACCATGGTGCTTGCCTACGGAGCTGTGAGGGGAACGGCACCTCCGTACCTTCAGGCTCTGATCAGTCCCTACACCCAAACGAGGGCATTGCGTTCATCCACCTCTGGCCTGCTGGCTCCCCTACATCTGCGGAAGCATAGTTCCCGCTCAGCCCAGTCAAAACTGTTCGCTGCTCTGGCACCCCAATGGTTGGAACAAGCTCCCTCACGCTCCAGAACAGCGAGTCACTCACCACCTTCCTGAGACATTTGAAACCCACCTCTTTAAGGAATACCGGATAGGATAAAGTAATCTGCTTCCCCCCCCCTTACCCCAACCCCAACCCAAAACAAAAAACAAAAAAAAACATTGTAAGTGGTGATCCCACTGGCTATAAGGTGAATGCACTATGTGTAATCGCTCTGGATAAGACGTTCTGCTAAATGACGTAAATGTAAATGTAAATGTAAAACTAAATGCATGCTCTTCAATCAAACGCTGCTGGCACCCGCCCACCCGACTAGAATCACTACTCTCGATGGGTCTGACCTAGAGTATGTGGACAACTACAAATACCTAGGTGTCTGGTTAGACTGTAAACTCTCCTTCCAGACTCACATTAAGCATCTCCAATCCAAAGTTAAATCTAGAATTGGCTTCCTATTTCGCAACAAAGCCTCCTTCACTCATGCTGCCAAACATGCCCTCGTAAAACTGACTATCCTACCGATCCTTGACTTCGGCGATGTCATTTGCAAAATAGCCTCCAACACTCTACTCAGCTAATTGGATGTAGTCTATCACAGTGCCATCCATTTTGTCACCAAAGCCCCATATACTACCCACCACTGTGACCTGTACGCTCTTGTTGGCTGGTCCTCACTACATATTCGTCGCCAAACCCACTGGCTCTAGGCCATCTATAAATCACTGCTAGGCAAATCCCCGTCTTATCTTAGCTCATTGGTCACCATAGCAACACCCACCCGTAGTCTGCGCTCCAGCAGGTATATCTCACTGGTCATCCCCAAAGCCAACACCTCCTTTGGCCGCCATTCCTTCCAGTTCTCTGCTGCCAATGACTGGAACGAACTGCAAAAATCTCTGAAGCTGGAGACTCTTATCTCCCTCACTAACTTTAAGCATCAGTTGTCAGAGCAGCTTACCGATCACTGCACCTGTACACAGCCATTCTGAAATTAGCCCACCCAACTACCTCATCCCCATATTGTTATTTATTTTGCTCATTTGCACCCCAGTATCTCTATTTGCACATCATCTCTTGCACATCTATCATTCCAGTGTTAATACTAATTGTAATTATTTTGCACTATGGCCAATTTATTGCCTTACCTCCATAACTTGCTACATTTGCACACACTGTATATAGATTTTCTATTGTGTTATTTGACACTTATGTTTTGTTTTATTCCATATGTAACTCTGTGTTGTTGTTCTTTTTATCGCACTGCTTTGCTTTATCTTGGCCAGGTCGCAGTTGTAAATGAGAACTTGTTCTCAACTGGCTTACCTGGTTAAATAAAGGTGAAATTAAAAAACCCAAAAAGAATCAAGGTGATTCCCAGTGCCCCTTTCCCTCTGATAACAGGCAGCTGATGCAGGCCCACAGATCTGAGATCAGTGCTTTGGTGACCCTCCACACCAAGACTCTGGAGGGGGATAGGGGCTGTGCAGAGGACAGATGTGGTATCCTCACATCCTAACTAATACTTCAAACTGTCCCTATAACTCTCACCCTTCATTTGTTTGCAAACCCTCACAGCCGTGCTGGAGGGGGATTATGACTTCCTCAAGAGCTCGTTCCGCATATACAAAGTGAATTAACATTGCCACCTGTTGGCACATGGCATCCGTCAGAACTTGGTGTTTCACATTTTGTCAGTGAAATGTGCTGCAAAGAAAGTTTGAATTATTGTGGAAATAAAAAAACATTTTTTCCCTACTGCTCTAGGACAGTAACTTTGAGGCGATGCGTAGCAGCTGGCTAAGGAAGGAGAACAGCTATAAATAGGAGCAGGAGAGGAATCTCATGGACCAACTGATGCTAATCAACCATTAAATCATTGTGAGGTTATTCACAGTATTAAATGTAATACACCTCCACGCCAGGTTAGATGAGATACACCTCCACGCCAGGTTAGATGAGATACACCTCCACGCCAGGTTAGATGAGATACACCTCCACGCCAGGTTAGATGAGATACACCTCCACGCCAGGTTAGATGAGATACACCTCCACGCCAGGTTAGATGAGATACACCTCCACGCCAGGTTAGATGAGATACACCTCCACGCCAGGTTAGATGAGATACACCTCCACGCCAGGTTAGATGAGATACACCTCCAACCAGGTTAGTTGAGATACACCTCCACGCCAGGTTAGAAGAGATACACCTCCACGCCAGGTTAGATGAGATACACCTCCACGCCAGGTTAGATGAGATACACCTCCACGCCAGGTTTGATGAGATACACCTCCACGCCAGGTTAGATGAGATACACCTCCACGCCAGGTTTGATGAGATACACCTCCACGCCAGGTTAGATGAGATACACCTCCACGCCAGGTTAGATAAGATACACCTCCACGCCAGGTTAGATGAGATACACCTCCACGCCAGGTTAGATGAGATACACCTCCACGCCAGGTTAGATGAGATACACCTCCACGCCAGGTTTGATGAGATACACATCCACGCCAGGTTAGATGAGATACACCTCCACGCCAGGTTAGATGAGATACACCTCCACGCCAGGTTAGATGAGATACAGGTCAGAGGAGTGTTCTTGCTACCAATTGTTAACCTGAATTTGACTTATAGGTGGTTTGGACAATAGGATAGTTTACCTCTGAAGTCACAGAGGGTGTGGCTTTCTAGGTACTAGCTGGTGATGTGATAAAGAAGGATGTAACCATCAGTTTGTTGAGAACAGCTCTTCACCAGACACGACAGGAACTGGACATAGTTGTAAGGATACTCTATATATCCCCTTCATGCAGAGAAAAGTGTCACTGGAGTCTCTGTTCAAACCTGCTAGTGACGGCCATCTTCTTCTTGTGACAGACATGTCATATGTCAGACTTTGAGAAAAAAAACGCACAGCGGCTTGGGCCAAGACGCACGTCACGCAAGAAGCAAGAGAGCCATAGTGCAACTCATGACCACACCAATACATGTTTGAACGTCACTTTGTTTTATTCTTGATCTGTAATAGAATGTCTTAAATGTGTTGTATGACATGCCATGTTGTGCCAAGGACTACTTTGGATTGTTTTGAAACAGCAACCACAACAAACTTATCAACATTGATTGAAAATTGCATTTATTGATTTAGGAAGTCAATATACAAGGGGATAAGAAATTGACAATATATAACAAAAAAAATAACAGGTTATAAAAGTAGCATAATAAGTGCTTATAACTTACTTCAGTTCTTCTCTTGTTTTTGCTTCTCCTTTACATTTAAAAATACCCTTTAAAAGATGAACTCCGCAGAAATCGCTCCACCACTTCCTGGTTGCTAAAATTCTAATTTCAGTTTGTGACAAAACAAGCAAGTATAGTGTAGAGAATCATTGTACCATCTAAAGCGCTGTGAAATATATTTTCCATAACCAAAAATATTGTATTTTCAACTGAGCTGTTTGAAGCTGGTGTACAAAATCGAAAGTTAAAGATGCAAAAACAAGTATAGAAATGGAGCACATAGAACAGATCTACCGCTTCTTAGACCTGCTTTCAATGAAAATGACAGCTCTGTAACTCATATTTCTATGTGGATTTGGTCAGGAGTTTCATATTGCAGCTTTAAAAACATTTCCTACAATTTTCTACTTACAGTTCTTTTGATATATTTCTACTGAATTTCATTTTTATATATATATAAAAAACAGAGCGAGGTGTAAAAAAAAAAACTGTAGACCTGCAGCTTCTACCCGAGGGATCCCAGAGGGTGCAGTGTATATATTGTTGGTGACAGTCCACTCATCTAGTGTCTGAATCAGTCCCTGAGTTAGTGGGAAAGTATAAGGACCAGATTTAAACCCCTCTGCTCTAGGGGTCTCAGGACAATATTTGTGGCTCACATAGCCTGGGAGGTGGGTCTTGGGGGATGGGAAAGACTAGCCTCTTCCTGAGTGAGTATGCAGGCTGGGGCATCTGCTTCCTAGTTCCAAGGTTGTTACTCATTCTGCTGACATCATCGTTCACCTTGGTCAGGATGGACAGGAAGTCATACCCACTGGACAGAGAGAAAGAACAATGAAAGGAAATTCAATCTGATAATGATTTACCAACCATTACGCTGACATCTATGTCATAGTCCACTGTTTACTGACGCTTTCAAAGAGGATGTCAGAATCTGACACAATGTAAAGAAACCAAGCACATCTGAACACTAACCTGGGAACCAAGTTGATGAGGTTCTGGCACTAACCTGGGAACCAAGTTGATGAGGTTCTGGCACTAACCTGGGAACCAAGTTGATGAGGTTCTTGCACTAACCTGGGAACCAAGTTGATGAGGTTCTGGCACTAACCTGGGAACCAAGTTGATGAGGTTCTGGCACTAACCTGGGAACCAAGTTGATGAGGTTCTGGCACTAACCTGGGAACCAAGTTGATGAGGTTCTGGCACTAACCTGGGAACCAAGTTGATGAGGTTCTGGCACTAACCTGGGAACCAAGTTGATGACGTTCTTGCACTAACCTGGGAACCAAGTTGATGAGGTTCTGGCACTAACCTGGGAACCAAGTTGATGACATTCTGGCACTAACCTGGGAACCAAGTTGAAACCGGGAACCAAGTTGATGAGGTTCTGGCACTAACCTGGGAACCAAGTTGATGAGGTTCTGGCACTAACCTGGGAACCAAGTTGTGGTCCTCTGTAGCTCAGCTGGTAGAGCACGGCGCTTGTAACGCCAAGGTAGTGGGTTCGATCCCCGGGACCACCCATACACAAAAAAAAAAAATGTATGCACGCATGACTGTAAGTCGCTTTGGATAAAAGCGTCTGCTAAATGGCATATTATTATATATTATATTATGAGGTTCTGGCACTAACCTGGGAACCAAGTTGATGAGGTTCTGGCTTCTAACCTGGGAACCAAGTTGATGAGGTTCTGGCACTAACCTGGGAACCAAGTTGATGAGGTTCTTGCACTAACCTGGGAACCAAGTTGATGAGGTTCTGGCACTAACCTGGGAACCAAGTTGATGAGGTTCTGGCACTAACCTGGGAACCAAGTTGATGAGGTTCTTGCACTAACCTGGGAACCAAGTTGATGAGGTTCTGGCACTAACCTGGGAACCAAGTTGATGAGGTTCTGGCACTAACCTGGGAACCAAGTTGATGAGGTTCTGGCTTCTAACCTGGGAATCAAGTTGATGAGGTTCTGGCTTCTAACCTGGGAACCAAGTTGATGAGGTTCTGGCTTCTAACCTGGGAACCAAGTTGATGAGGTTTTGGCTTCTAACCTGGGAACCAAGTTGATGAGGTTCGGGCTTCTAACCTGGGAACCAAGTTGATGAGGTTCTCGCACTAACCTGGGAACCAAGTTGATGAGGTTCCTGCACAACGACTGGATGAACCAAGTGCCCTTACTCTTTTCTCTGAAAGAGGAAAAGTGAGGGACGGTGGCCATGCCCAGAAGGAAGTCGGCATCAGAGGGAATGGAATCTCTGGGTACCACTGCATCAGTGCAGATAGAGCTGGTGGTGGTAGAGCCATCAGTGCCTGGGCAATCGGACTGGATGAACACTGGCTGTTGTTCCTTGGTGCCCTGACAGGCCTGGATAAAGAACAGCTTGGGCTTTCCCCTCAGTGAGCTGCACTCCAGTCCAGCGAAGGGCTCTGTGAGCTCCCTGACTCTGACCTCCAGCCCGTCCACCCCGTAAACACCTCCCTCCAGCCCGTGGCTCAGAACGCAGCACACCAGGCAGTCCATCTGGCTGTGGTCGCGGCTTCGTAGCTCCGCAACTAGAGAGAGTAACTGCTCCCGGCTGCAGTCTGGCTCAACCTGCGTCTCAAAGCCCAGCCACTCAAACACACTCACCAAACTCCCTGAGACACAAACACATAAAGATACTTGTATAATTGTGATTTAGGCCTGGTTCACCAAAAGCAAACGACTTAAAAGTATTTGACCATTTCAAGAATAACATGTAACAATGATCTTACTTTCATCAACCTGTGTTCCCTCTCTATTGTTTAGGAGTTTTTGAGAATTTCTGAAGTTGTAGTTGTTAATTATCAGACAGAAACCTCAATTTTTTCCTGTCATAGCATATTCTCCCACTTCCTACAGAAAAAAAACATGCATAAATAATTAATAAATCCAGTTAAGGACAGCATCATCCATAATCCCAAAAAATGCTACTGCCCCTAAAATAATCTACACATTACCCAGTCAGTTTTCAGTAAAAAGCATGGACTGACATGACTTTGTCAACGCTCATTTAAAAAGATCAGAGAAACCTATTTTTTGGTGTTTCCTGTCTGAGGATCCACCGGGCTAAAGTTCTTATTATGTCCACGTGAGGATATGGATGAAACGTGGTGATTCTCTACGGGAGAGAAGACATGGATCAGGTAAGAATGAATCCATGATATGGTTAACATTTAACAGTGATGCCAATGAGCCAACAGAGAGAGCAGGAGAGGGGAGCGTCTACAGGCCCCTTTTGTATACGGAACAAAAATATAAAACGCAACATGCAACAATTTAAACGATTTTACTGAGTTACAGTTCATAAGTCAATTGAAATATATTAATTAGGCCCTAAGCTATGGATTTCACATGATTAGACAGGGGCGCAGCCATAGGTGGGCCTGGGAAGGCATAGGCCCACCCACGGGAGCCAGGCCCACCCAATCAGAATACATTTTTCCCCACAAAAGGGCTTTATTACAGACAGAAATACTCCTCAGTTTCGTCAGTGTCTGGGTGGCTGGTCTCAGATGATCCCGCAGGTGAAGAAGCCGGATATGGAGGTCCTGGGCTGGCGTGGTTACACGTGGTCTGTGGTTTTGAGGCTGGTTGGACGTACTGCCAAATTCTCTAAGATGGCGTTGGAGGCGGCTTATGGTAGAGAAATTAACATTCAATTCTCTGGCAACAGCTCTGGTGGACATTCCTGCATTCAGCATGCCAAATGCACGCTACCTCAAAACTTGAGACATCTGTGGCATTGTGTTGTGTGACAAAACTGCACATTTTAGAGTGGCCTTTTATTGTCCCCAGCACAAGGTGCACCTGTGTAATGATCATGCCGTTTAATCAGCTTCTTGATATGCCACACCTGCCAGGTGGATGGATTATCTTGGCAAAGCAGAAATGCTCACTAACAGGGATGTAAACAAATTTCTGCACAAACTGAGTGAAATAAGTTTTTTGTGCGTATGGAAAATTTCTGGGATCTTTTATTTCAGCTCATGAAACCAACACTTTACATGTTGCGTTTATATATTTTTTCTGTATATATTGGCATTATAAATGATATGAACTGACCTTGGCTGAGAGCAGCACAGTTGTCCCCACTGGTACTTAGGAGACCCAGCCTATGTGAACGTCCTGCATCCGCTGTATCTGAGACCCTCCGAACTTCTGGTGTGTGGGCAGACCAAGATGACAACAAAGGTTATGTGAGTTCTGTACTGTACTCCAATACAGAGAACATGTGCTGGCCACACCCTGTTCGGTGTGGGACTTACCTAGACAGGTGTCAGCTGGATTCAGAGAGGACACCTGTGGAAGGAAGTAGAGGGAACAATTAGTGACAGACATGAGGGATGGCCTCTGACGTAAAGACACGTGGTGTGTTCCAGTAGGTCTTTATTATTATTTGAAAAGGTTTTTATGCTCCAAAACCTGGACTGAACATTAAGACACTGACCTCAGATGAAGGCTGTGAACCTGAACATTAGACACTGACCTCAGTTGAAGGCTGTGAACCTGAACATTAGACACTGACCTCAGATGAAGGCTGTGAACCTGAACATTAGACACTGACCTCAGATGAAGGCTGTGAACCTGAAGAGAAGTACGAAGGAGGAAAGAACATCTTGTCAGAATGTCCACGTTGTTCGACTAAGACAAACAGGAAAAGAAATGTAAGCATGTTTTATAACATACTGAAGAAGATTTGACATCTACTTTAGTCATAGTTCCGACCTGATAGTCCACATGACACAGGTCTCTTTGGAAGCATGGAGGCAGCCTGATGGAAAATAATAGTCATGACATTCTGTGATAATACAGTAGCAAGCTAATCAAGATGGAAACTGAGAAGTGTCCATAAGGACTGGTGGATATCAAGATAATGTAAGAAATAAAGCATTTATCTGTTACTTGGTTTTCTGGAAGAGTTGCAGACGCAGACCTTGATCTTAAACATCCCATCCCTGTTTCTTGGGTTACTGGCCCTGATTTAATAAAGTATTGCGTAACACATCTCAGTCATATTACTGTGCTAAATAATTGACAGGCAATACACAGGCAAGGGATGGGATTGTTCAGCCGATCAGTACTTTACCAGGGAAAATAATTTGTTAGTCACCCACAGAAACTGAAAGTGAAACACTTACCCATCAGTGTCTTAAAATGGTTGATTCTTGTTTTCAACATGGGGCAGACACTTCCAAACATACTTTCAACAGTGTTTAGTTTTATGACGCTCAAAATATCCACTTTCTCCATTTCCAGGAATACTTGCAAGGTACTCTGAAAGAATAGAGCAGAATGTGTAATGTCAGTTGGTCCATCAAGATAAGCATTCTTTCTACTCATATTTCACTAAATAATATAAGTTACTACCCTATTCTGGACAACACGTTGAATTTGAGACCGTGTTGACGTACTCACCACGTTGTCCTCCAGTTTCCTACGAGGGAGTACATTAATCAATAAGAACTTAATCTCTCTCAACTCGTCTTCAGTGATGTTCTCTGACAAGTCATACAACAGCTTTCTGCAGATGGCGGAAAAACAATGACTCATTCACTTTTCAGAGAACATCATATTACAGTACAGTATATGTGGGAAACAGTAACACAACAACATGAGTGTTTACATTCATGTTATAAATGGCAAGGTCTACTTATCTGTATTCATTTGTGGGGAAAGCTGTTGTATGGATTCAGATGTGGTAAATGTGGCCTATATATTCACCTATAAGGAGAGATTAAGCTACTGGTTGTTGGAAGCTGGTTGTCGAGGCCGAGCTCTCGCATCAAGCTGTGGCGCTGGATGGTGCGTAGTAGATCAGCAAGCAGGTAAGGTTGATTGGGGGTTAACAGTTCTTGGTCCGTCAGAAGAGAGAAGAGTTTACCTGCTGTGGGCACTGAGCTAAAGTCTTTCTCAAGCAGGTCTTTGCAAAGAAACGCAAGCGCTTGCACTTCTTCACTGCTCAGGGCTTGTTCCACTTGCAATAGCAGCCTTTGGAAATCCATCTCCTGTCGCAAAACCAATATGATCACTATGTTTGATATTTACACTATAAATACATATTGTTAATTTACCATCTCACCACATGGTAATAATATGTTGTCAGTTGAAAATATCAAATCAGGTGTGTAATAAATATAGGCCTATGGATAGACCTCTTGAATAGTCCAGCAACTTTCAATCAGGGGGCTGGAGACCCTAACCAGGGAGCTGGGGACCCCTAGGAGCCTCACTTTAAACCAGGGAGCTGGGGACCCATAGGTGCCTCACTTTCAACCAGGGAGCTGGGGACCCCTAGGTGCCTCACTTTCAACCAGGGGGCTGGGGACCCCTAGGTGCCTCACTTTCAACCAGGGGGCTGGAGACCCTAACCAGGGAGCTGGGGACCCCTAGGTGCCTCACTTTCAACCAGGGAGCTGGGGACCCATAGGTGCCTCACTTTCAACCAGGGGGCTGGAGACCCTAACCAGGGAGCTGGGGACCCCTAGGTGCCTCACTTTCAACCAGGGGGCTGGAGACCCTAACCAGGGAGCTGGGGACCCCTAGGTGCCTCACTTTCAACCAGGGAGCTGGGGACCCATAGGTGCCTCACTTTCAACCAGGGGGCTGGGGACCCCTAGGTGCCTCACTTTCAACCAGGGGGCTGGAGACCCTAACCAGGGAGCTGGGGACCCCTAGGTGCCTCACTTTCAACCAGGGAGCTGGGGACCCCTAGGTGCCTCACTTTCAACCAGGGGGCTGGGGACCCCTAGGTGCCTCACTTTCAACCAGGGGGCTGGGGACCCCTAGGTGCCTCACTTTCAACCAGGGGGCTGGGGACCCCTAGGTGCCTCACTTTCAACCAGGGGGCTGGGGACCCCTAGGTGCCTCACTTTCAACCAGGGAGCTGGGGACCCTTACCAGGGAGCTGGGGACCCCTAGGTGCCTCACTTTCAACCAGGGGGCTGGGGACCCTAACCAGGGAGCTAGGGACCCCTAGGTGCCTCACTTTCAACCAGGGGGGTGGGGATCCCTAACCAGCCTGAGTGAATTTAAGTGGGAAAAAGCAGTAATAATCACCTCATATTCTATAGAAGAGCAGGTGCTTAAGACATTTTGTCGAAGATGAGGCTCACAAAATTAAATACCACAGTTATATATATGTATCTCTTTTTAAATATCCATATGTCTAATTATTAGGCTAAACTATGTATGAGAATCCATGACAAGTCTACATTAATTCACCCAGGACACATAACAAGCCATAGCATGACTGTACAGATGGACTATAAAATGTAGAATACCATTTTTACTGTTAATTCGAAAAAATGCTCCACCCAAGAAAAAGTATGGAAAAGTAGCCTACCATTACGTAATCTTTGCGTTTGAAGTTTTAAATGTGCCTCAGATATCTCATATCCACATAGGCCTGCCTGTACGTTTGGAGAGGTAACCAAGTAGGCTACAGGAATATCAATGTTTTCCAAAGATCATTAATTGTTCACGATGACAACCACAAGTCATTTTAGTTGATCAACAACTTCAAATCCACCGGGATTTCACGTAGGCTACACAGTGGCGAGAACACAAGTACAGTACGCTTCTTCTTCTTCTTCTGTAGATTTTATGGCGGACTACAACCCCAAAAGGTGTATTGCCGCCACCAACTGGACGGGTTGAAACCAAAACAAGGTAAAAAGAAAATCCATGCGTGATATGGAAACTAACTTAAAATAATGATATGGAAACTAACACCCAAATAAAAATAGTACATTGGCAAAACAAAACTCCCACTTCTTCCTTCTTTCAGTTCTCCATTTCTCCCTTCTCAGGCTCCAGGGCCTGAGAAGGTGGTATGGCTTGTGACAATATTCCATGTAACTCCTTTGTCGAGAAATCTTTCAGCCCCAGGAACCGCTCCGCCGCGTCCACAATGATTTCTATCTTCCTGGACCTTCTCTCCACCTTGGCAGTGCCATTTATCACCATAGCTATAAAGGCCACAAAGTCCACCTTCTTAACCTTTAAAATATCAGGATCCTGCTGGTGAAAGACAACCCCTGCAGCCTGCAGTGAAGGCCTATCCACCACCATGGACTCTTCAGGAGCACCATTCAAACCCTCAACCCTTTTAACAGCTGCTGCATATGAAATGCTCTGGATAGCCCTGACTTTGGCCACCTCATTCTCTTTCACCCTTGTGGGGCATTCAACATCAACAGACGTGACTTCATGGTTCCCACCACAATTGCAACATGTCACATTTTCATCACTTTTATAACACATAGCATGATATTTTCCACAACTTGGACATCTCGGCTTCTCCCTTCTGCAAACACTTGAAACATGACCAAAAGCTTTACAATGATCACAATTCATTGGTCTTGGGGTAAATGCCCTGACTCTGTAGTTAATATACCCTAACTGCACTTGAGTAGGGAGAGACTCCATATAATGACTGGAACGAACTGCAAAAATCTCTGAAGCTGGAGACTCTTATCTCCCTCAATAACTTTAAGCATCAGTTGTCAGAGCACCTTACCGATCACTGCACCTGTACACAGCCCATCTGAAATTAGCCCACCCAACTACCTCATCCCTATATTGTTATTTATTTTGCTCTTTTGCACCCCAGTATCTCTATTTGCACATAATCTCTTGCACATCTAGCATTCCAGTGTTAATACTATTGTAATTATTCTGCACTATAGCCTATTTATTGCCTTACCTCCATAACTTGCTAGATTTGCACACACTGTATATATATTTTTCTGTTGTATTTCTGACTTTATGTTTTTTACCCCATATGTAACTCTGTGTTGTTTTTATTGCACTACTTTGCTTTATCTTGGCCAGGTCGCAGTTGTAAATGAGAACCTGTTCTCAACTGGCTTACCTGGTTAAATAAAGGTGAAAAATAATAATAATAATAATAATAATAATAATAATAATAAAAATTCTAAAGAACAGATAGACTCTTCACTAGCACAGTGCTCTTGTACTGCGTGCTTTCCTTACGTCCATTTCGTATGACACGCCCATTTTCAACTAGAAAAGTAAATTTCCTGAAGAAAATGTGTGCGCTTGCTAGCTTGTCTTGAAGGCTAGGAAAGCCTTACAAAGGCCCAGTGCAGTCAAAATTCAGTTTTTCCTGTGTTTCTACATCATATTGTAAAACAGCTGATGAAACTAACACTGTAAAAGTGTGAAAAACATTTGATCGGTGTTATTTCCTGATAGTTGCTGGTTGAAAATACAATCTACACAGGACCTTCTAATTAGCAGGTTTGCATGGGGGCGGGAGTTTCGTCTTTCCATGGTGACATCACCATGCGGTAAATTGGTTAATAGACCAATAACAACGAGAGTTCCAAACCTCGCTGCCAATAACAGCTAGTTTCAGTTTTCCCCTCCCTACTCAGACCACTCCCAGACAGTCCTAGCAAAATTCTTGCTTGAGAAATAGTATTTAGCTAAAAAGCAATTTTAGCCCATTTTCATGGAAATCTATTACAGTAAGGTACTTAATTGTTACCCAGAAATGATTTAATATTGATATAAAAACGTCTGCATTGGACCTTTTAACATATAAATGTTGGTTTGGTGTCTCTAGCTTGAACGGTTCAAGAGCTACTATTACTGTTGGTGGGCAATGTTATGCTAATTTAGCACATTTAAATAATAATTATTTATAAACGTTTTGAAAATGTTAAAGTTGTTTTAATGTTTTTAGCTGAAATGGTTAAAGAGCAGTAGCATTTCAAATGTCTACCACTGTGTTCTTATGGTTGCCATTGAATCCATGCAAATTACAACTGTTTATAAAGGTTTTAGAGAATTTGAAGTTAGGATAGCCTGAAGATTTTAAAGTTGGTCTTGTAGGTTAATTGACCAAGGAGCAGGACCATTTTGATTAGCTACCACTGTTTTCCTATGGTTCTCATTCAAACCCATGTTCATTTATGCAAATGTAAAATAGTTATAGTTCAAAAAGTATAACTATTATCACACAGCTTTTGACAAGCAATCTAAGTTGGGTCGGTCTGTACATTTCAATTTTTGTAGCATAAATTGTTAAAGAGGAGCGGCGAATCCAAATATTTCCCATTAAAGGCTATGGAGCTTTTAATACAAATTTAAAATGGTTACAGTTTAAAAAGTATAAATAGTATCAAAAACCTGTATAGAATGCCCACATTTTCCCCATCTAAGTCTATGGCACTTGTATTGCTATTAAAATACTTTGTGAGCTAATTTAAATATTGTTGTAGTAGAAAAAGTATAAATGCTATCAAAAATTGCAGTCTGCACATTTAAATAATTTAAGCGCTAGAGCCTGCGGAATAATAATAAGAGTATGTAAGAAATCGAGACTTGTCTTGCCTTCAGCCAGCACACACATTTTAACCAATGGTTTCAACCTCTCCAATGAACACATTGCAAAGAACACAGTGTTGCCATGTTGCCAGAACTGATATACTCAGTACATGAATGATACAGTGGTGCGCACGAGGACATTAGTCATCCTCAGACAAATGCACATCATCCAGGCATTGCCATACACAACACAGACTCAGAGAAATTCTCTGCATTTTTATAATTAAGCAATAAGGCCTGGGGGGGTGTGGTATATGGCCAATATACCACGGCTAAGGGCTGTTCTTACGCACGACGCAACGGACACAGCCCTTAGCCGTGGTATATTGGCCATATACCACAAACCCCAGAGGTGCCTTATTGCTATTATAAACTGGTTACCAACATAATTAGAGCTGTAAAAATGTATGTTTTGTCATACCCGTGATATACCACAGCTGTCAGCCAATCAGCCTTCTGTAAGATAAATACAGAAAGATTGAATCAAAGATTGACTCATTAGGTGGTGAATATGTTTCCTGCAGAAGCCTAAATGAGTACACAGCAGATCCCACCATCTCATAATGAGTCTAGGTCCAAAAGGCTTCTCAACAGCTTCTACCCCCAAGCCATAAGACTCCTTAACAGCTAATCATGGCTACCCGGACTATTTGCCCTGACCCCCCACCCCATC